AACTAAGCACAAAGTGGCCAGATGACATGTTTAGGAAATCTTAAAGCCAAGATTCAAATGCACCCTGTTTAGGACCAAAATCAGTGTTCTTAATCACTCTTCTATGCTACCTAGAGCACAGGCGAGAAACACTATACTGTATAAATGTGTTGGAACATTTCCTTTCCTAAGATATAAACAGTTCTTCCTAAAACAAAAGTGGACACACACTTTTGTATTATTGCATTTCTTATATGGTTGTCTTTTGTTAGATTACTTATTTTACGTGTTCTGTCTGCATGCACGTGCCGTGTGTCCAGAGGACAAAAGTGGGTGTGGATCCCAGGACTGAAGTTACAGATGGTTGTGAGTCTCCGTGTGATGCTGGGAATCATACGCAGATCCTCTGGAAGAGCAGCCAGTGTTCCTAACTGCTGAGCTATCTGCCCCAAGCATATTGTTCCTTTCAAACAATTTTTATTTGACATAAAAACACACATGTGCAATTTATTTATACATTTTGAAAGTGCTTTTTGGCTTACAAAGATGAAATTATTTCTGAAAAAAAAAACCTACAGGTTTCATTTGCCCAAATTCTATGCTAGGTAATGTAAAAATTTTTATTGCTTTGAGAAAACAAACTTTTTGTTGTTGTTGTTCAAGTGATAAAGGAAAGCAAAAATCCACAATCACTTAATTTATTGTAAGGAACATACAGGTGCCCTAAAAACAAGGCATTTTTATTTATTTCGAGGGGTTGTTTGAGTTGGGTTTTGGTGTCTTGTTTTTTGAGACAGTATCTTATATCCTGTAGCCCAGGCTGGCCTCAGACTCAGGCTATCCTCCTTTGTTGGCCACGCTGCCAACCTCTGAACAACAAGGCCTCAGGCATGCAGCGCCAGCCCAGCGTGGTTTTCATGAAAGTCTTGCTTTGCAGCCGTGCTAGCTGGTTTCCTGTCAACTTGACACAAGCTAGAGTCATCTGTGAGGAGGGAGCCTCAGTGAGAAAACGCCTCCACTAGATGAGGCTTCTGCAAGCCTGTAGGGCCTTTTCTTAATTAGTGATGTGGGAGGGCCAGCCATCATGGTCTGGTGGTCCCCAGTTCTGTAATAAGAGAGCAAGCTGGAGCAAGCCAGTAAGCAGTGTCCCTCGTGGCCTCTGCATCAACTCCTGTCCTGTTGAGTTCCTGTCCGACTTCCTTAGATGATGAATAGACATGTGGAAGTGTAAGTCAAATAAACCCTTTCTTGCTTCCCCTAGTTGTTTTTGCATGTGGTGATTCATTAAGCATGGACACCCTAAGACAGCATCTTATGTTGCTTGAAATGAACCATCCTCTTCTTTGGCTTCTGAGTGCTGGGATGAGAGGCGAGTGTACTGTGCATAACCAGAGTGTTGGTTTCCACCCGATAGAGCTGCTCACTCTAAAAATAGGGTTTTCCTTTGATAACCTTACTTTATCTATTTGCATTACATTATGTTGTTATGTAACACAAGATGTTTCTTCCACTTAGTGACTTTTAAGAAACATTTGAAGTGAAAAGAAACTAGATAAAATAAATGATTGTCACTTGGTGGCAAACCCTCTGAATGGCTTTCTTAATATCAATGTCTTTGTTCTCAATCTTATTTTCCTTACATAAAAACAAGCAATTACATATAGGGATCTCAGATTGCCATAATTTGGAGAAATATTTATATCTCTGCAGCTGAAATAGCTCATAGGTACTACAGACTTTTAAAAATACTATTGTGTCATAAGGAATATTAAAACAAGTGTGTCTGTGAAACAGGGAAGTAGTTTTAAATGGATCTCATTTAAGATCTCATTATTAAGATAGATTTAAACCAGGCTGATTTGACAAGTATGGTGGTGTGGTTTTAAACATTTTAAAGCAGTCATGAGAAAGTTGGCAAGAGTTCGCTTAGGAGGAAAAGACTGTTGACAGTTAGGGACTCGTGTGTCACAGAGAGTCATGCCAGCACTCTTGTAGGCACAAAGCCTGGACCATCACTAGGGCACCATCTGAAAAGTTGGGACATTTTATTTGCTGACATCATGGATGTCTTGAGTTTTGCATAACAGTGAGTTTCTGAATGTGCCAAGCCTTCACCCCTCCCAGGAGAAAAATGTTTAAACCAGCATTTATTTCATTTTTCATATTCTTTGGAAGTGAAGTATGGCAACTGTCCAAAGAATGTGTGCAGATGTATGTGTGTGTGTGTGTTTGCGAATAATGAACCACACTAAAATCACAGAGTGATTAAAACAGAATTTGGTACTCGAAATCAGAATTTGCCTGGGGTCACAAGGATTGTCACTCTCTCCACACTCTTGACTGACAAAGAGCTTTGTAGGGGTGCAGGTGCTCACACATTGCCAGGGGTGAGCAGTCTCAAAGCAGAGGAAAGGGATTAAATAAAAACTACTAAGGTCAGAAGTTCAGTGCTTTACATAAGTAGCAAACTGCATTTCATTTTATTTATGACCCCATACGTGAGGAAGGGACGCTGTTGAAGTAACAATCATTTAAAAAGCAACAACCAACAAACCAGTATTTAATTTGGTATTTAAAACCAATTAATTAGAAATCAAATGGAAGCAGTGTCTAAAGGAACTAAGATAATTCATAACAAATGGCACGAACTCAAGCTCTACTTATTGGAAATATGATAATTCATCGCAAGTGAAGCTACAATGTACCTGTGAGGATAGAGTAAGGGTACACATTAGCAGAGTTCTATTAGATGTCAAGAGTCTCCTAAAAGTTTTAAAGGACTTTAGAACAGATTTTCTGTGCAAACACTGATCAGTAATAATTTCCTCTAAGTTCTTTCGTACATGACCTTATTTAAAGCAGTGTATTCACCCGCGCAAGTCATGTTAGTAAAATAGTTTTGAAAAGTATTTTCTTTCCCAGGTATTTCACTAGTTTGAAAGAGTTTTTCCAGAGATTAGTCTGAATTTCGGTTGCAACCTAAGCCTTTAATGAAGATATGCTTCTGAAAATAAGGCAATTTCTCTATAATCTGCTCATGAATAGGAAACAAATCTTTGGTTTTTTTTTTGTTTGTTTTGTTTTTTGTTTTTTTGGCTAAAATGGCAGAGAAGATTTTGCAAAAAGAAATATTAAACAACCAACACAAAGAGCTCTTAACAAGCAATGGGAAACTCCAAACCCCATCAAGGTAAATAGAGTACCTAAGGCACCTCAGGTTCAGATGATACAATCGTCTGCTTAGAGATCGAGTGTTCTATATACATGATTCCTACCGCCTGGAGAAGGGGAAGCTGAAAAGGTGACGTCCAGCTATGACTGCTGTGACTCAGAGGAGAGGGAAAAGAGCTCATGAGTGGGAGGGGCACTGGAGAGCACTCTCACGAGGAAACCGCAGCGACACCAGTGTACACTTCCAGATTCTTAATCCATTTCTCTCAGACCATGAAAGCTCTCAACTTTAACTTCATTGCCTAATACACCAAGTGTCCAGGGTTTCACAAATGTAGATTTGAAGAAAAAAAAAAAAAAAGAAAAAACAAAACCCATCAAATCTCCAAAGGCAACTTGGAAATGAATAATACTTTACTGTCGGGATTCCTTCATATCATGGGTTTGACAACTTAGCTAGTATGTTAACTCATTATACAATTTCTTTCAGTTCTATCTAAAAACAAGACCAAAACTAAATGGGAAAGTTACAGAATCCCATTTGAGCATACATATAAGGCCATGATGCTTAATGTGAACCACCACTGCTTGGACAAAAAGTCATCCGACATCCACTCCAAGAGAAAGCTCTTGTCCAGTAGACTGTCTACTACCAAGTGGGGGAGTGTGGTGCTTCTACTTCAAAAACTCCTACAAAGCTCACATGCAAAACAGTACATCTAGATTTGTGACTGGTATGAACATTTAAGGCTGTCATTTTCAAGTATCAGTGTTTAGTGTTCCATTACCCAATCTGTGCAATAGACAAAGCTGTAAGCACAAACCCTGGAAGATAACAGAAGCTCGCTAAAGACCAAGAAGTCATAGTTTAAGCAACAGCAAATTTCAGCCTAAGAAAGGCTGGCAACACAATATGGATTAGATTATGCTTCCCTAAACTGCATGAGCTGGTGCGCATGGAAGCTTTGTCTAACAAACACTACTGTCTGTTGCATGGCATTTAGAATAAGGCAGATCCATAGCAGATGGAGGAAGAAAGCCAAATGGTACCAGCCGGTTATGAAGGTAGTTTTGCCTCCGGTACACTTTGAAGGCTGATACCCCAGAGAAGGGTTAGAAATGGCTCCAGCACACCAAATAAGCTTTATAAAGAAAAAAGTTACTTCCAAGATTTTTTACCCAGGGCTTTTAACTTAGGGACCCACATACCCTGTGTGTGGCATCAAATAAATCACCATTATTTAGTTGTGGTTTAATGAAGTGTAGCATGGCTGGAGAAACCGTCTTGGGAAGCCTGTAATGTTCTGCTTGTCTCATACCATAGGTGAGTGCATAAGCCGTGAGCTGCCCCCTGTTCGGCTACAGCATCTGTAGCTCATGGAAGCAGAGTACCCACACACTCCACGAACACGTTCAGATTCTAGGCCTTCCCTCCGACACAACTGAAAATTGCTAAGGTTCGGTCAGCCTACACACTTCTTACTTCATTTGATATACACAGCCAAAGTGGGAATTAGAAAAATGGCCAGCTACTTCAGAGAGCTTAAACTGAGTTCAGGATTATGGCAAACTATGACCCAATTTTTAAATTTGTACTTTAGCATGTACTTCATGCAATTTGGGGAGCTAATTCTACAGTCGCTGGAAAGCCTCCTTACCTTTTAATGCACTTTAACTAAAATGTGTACATTTTTAGTGTTCATAGTAAATGCAGTTATGACCTATTAAACTTTTGGCATTCTTAAGAAAGCACATTAAGCTTCACTATAGAAGTGTTTATGTTACACTTAATTTGTGCTCAAGTAATAATGAAACACCGGTTGGTTTCAATCTCCTGCTTCTTCCCTCAGGTGTGGCCCATCTCCTGTACACTCGGAGCGACCTTTGGCTACGTGGCTGGCCTGGTTAGCTCACCACTCTGGATATACTGGAATAGAAAGCAACTTACATACAAGAGCAATTAAGAGGAGAAAGGGGAGAAGACATTTCTTTGTGCAGATTCTGTAAGGGCTGTGCAGAAATGTGTATGGTCAAGCCAAGCAGTTCCTTTTACAGCACTGTTGTTTTTTTTTCAATGTCGTTTCAACATGGTGTGATTGTAGCTTTTTAACTATGAAACCCCTGAGAGATTTACCTTCTAGTTGAAATAAAGTATTTATAGTAGATTGTGGCTTCAGATGCTGTTGGCTGCCGCTTAGACCTTTAAGAAACATTCTCAATGACGCTGTAGAATGCTGAGGACAGGTTCCCTCCCCCCCTCAGGTTAAACTTCACTGCAAGAGGTCAGGACATCACTGTAGCATTTCAGATGCATTCTGGGAGAAATGGACAGTTCCCTTGGCCACTCAGACTTTTCTCACGTAATCAAACAACAGTTTATACATCTTGATCCTATTCTTTTTTTAACTGCATGTTTCTTTGGAGTTAAAATGGCTATGATAGCCTCATCAAAAACAGTCTTCAAACCCTTCTGGGTCAAAGCTGAACATTCCACATAGCAGCGTGCGCCTATCTGGGAAGGAGAAAAAAGAAGCCACAATTATATAAAACAGTCTTATAGAACTCAGCAACAACACATTATGTGGGCAGTTATAGAATACAGCTATGCAAAAGAGCCCTATCACCCATATTCACAATACCCAGAGGGAGACAGTTGTTAAAATACTAGTGTGTGGCCTTCCAGATTTCTCTATGAAAAGTTCATTCATCAAATATTAGATACTCACTACACATTAAGCAACTGCTTAAGTACTGAGTACATGTCTGTGACCAAGGTGTCCTGCTGTGTGTGGAGAAGAGGATTATAGAGCAGGCACAGGTAAGTGCTGGGGTGTGGGGGAGGACAGGGAAATGGGAGGATGGCGGTAGTCAGGGAAGCCTTCTCAACAGGTCAGGGTTGAGGAGTGAGGGACCCCAAGGGGCCAAGACCAAAAGACCAATGTGGAAAGTTTTTGGCATATCCAAGACACAGCAAAGAACCCAGAGGTGGGAGGGAGACACATGTGACTATTCCCTGTGTAGAGTGTCAGTTTCTCAGCATTGCCTGGTGACTCTGTCCCTGGCTGCTTTCTTCAGACAACCCATTCCCTTCCGGCGTTCTCGCTCTATGCTTGCTGCTTTCTCTCAAGTCATCTCCATAAGAGCAGGGTAGGAACTTGATGTTGTTCTGCTGTGTTGTCCCCTGGCAAGAAGCACGATTTCTATCCATTCTCCTTGGAGTAGAAGCTCATGCTCATGCTTTCAGACCTGGTGAATTTGGATACATGCTCTCAGCCCCTTTTTCTGCTGGGGTATACATGCCTTCTTCTGATGAATTCATTAGACGCATGGGTTCCTGTTCCTAAGACGTCAATGCCCTACACATAAATCTGACTTTTATTCTGGCATCTGCTATGATAGCACATATTTATGTAGTCAATTCGCCTGCATTTATAACTTTTGCCTTTATGTATTTAGAAATTCCTTCTCCTCCCTCCCCCAGGATTATAAAATTAAGTGCAAGGAATTTCTGAGGTGATTTGTTGGTGAAATCCTTTTTCTTTGCTTTGGGAAAAGCTGTCCTCCAGAAAGTTCTTTTGCTTCTTTCTATCTCTCAACAGTGTATTTTAAAAGAACTTAGTAGGTAGTACTTACACAGAAATCCTATTAAAGCTAGTGGAAAAAATATGAAGAGGAAGAAGAAGAATTAGAAGAAGTCAATGATCTTATGGTCAGATGGAGGGGAAAAGAATCCAGCTTTGGGGTAAGGGAAAATGTGAGTTAAAAGGTATTATATGGCGGCTGGAGAGATGGCTCAGTGGTCAGGCACACTGGCTGTTCTTCCAGAGGACCTGGGTTCAATTCCCAGCACCCACATGGCAGCTCACAATTGTCTGTAATTCCAGTTCCAGGATGTCTGACACCCTCACACAGACATGCATGGAGGCAAAACACCAATGCATATAAAATAAAGATAAATAAACTTTAAGAAAGGTATTATATGTATCTGTAAGTATTTTTTTTAGAAGTCTAGCCATAATTTCTTAGTCACAGACTTAAACTGTTACCTAATGTCACTTCAACTGTACCCGCAGGGGTCGTAACCGAAAGCAGAGCCCAACTTGGCACAGCAGTAATGTCTCAGTAATTAAGAAAGTTGTGAAGTCTCAGCACCTGATTCTTGGCTTAAAAAAAAAGCCACTTACCGATGGCTTTAAAGACACCACAGTTGTAAGCATAGCAGAGGTAAACAGACATGTGACCTGGAAGCCCAGCTCTGTCATTTTACTGCAAGATCTCAGGCAAGTCTCCCTGATCTTTAAAAGCCCCATTCTCTCTCATCTATGGTGAGGGACACAGACCTTCCTCACGCTGTCAGTACTGAAATAATGGAGAGAGGGGGAGAGAAACTCCAGCAGTGCCCGGGACACATGCATGAGCAGCCGGCTTCTACGGCTACTTGACATCTGCGTGAAACCCGGCAGGGACTCGTTACCTCTTTTGCTAGTTTCTGTCCTTGTTCCACACAGACAGGTTTTTCTTTCATGTCATTCAGTCTTGCTAAAGTTTTGGGGTCATCTCGGAGATCAATCTAATCAGGAGAGATCAATAATGTCCCATATAAAATAATATATATTTTTAAAAAGCAATGCATATAGTCCCATTTAATCCCCACATATTAAAAAAGACACTATTTTTAAAGATACTAATATAATTTTGGGGAATTACGTCTATGTAAAGATGAGAGGACTTACCATCAGAAACTTACTGAACATTATCATTTGCTAATCATAGGGTCTTTGACTGAGAGCAACCCCCCCCCACACACACACTAGGAGAGCTTATTCTTAGATAAAGAAAATCAAAGCAGACACACCTGAGTTCCTATTAATAAGAAAGGGACATTTGGCGCATATTCCTTAAGCTCCGGTACCCATTCCTCTTTCACATTTTGAAATGAGGCTGGATTTACCACAGAGAAGCATATGAGGAAGACATCAGTCATGGGGTAAGACAAAGGCCTCAGACGATCATAGTCTTCCTATGGACAAAGGGGAAAAAAGAGGAAAAGTCATTATTTATACTTCATGTCTACAGATTAGTAACAATAAACACATTAGATCACATGGTCAAAAAGTACATCGAGGAATGTATCTCTCCATGAAATAAGATGATTTCACTAGGTGTTGTTTTTCTTCTTAGTAAAAATTTAATGCAATAAACAGGTCAAATAAAAACTAAGAAAATAGAGGGGTGTGGTGGTACACTCTGGTAACTCCAGCATTTGGGAGGCTAAGGAAGGGAGATGGGGAATTTTAGGCCAGCCTGGGCTACAAAGTGAGGTTCCCATATCAAAACACCACACACACACACACACACACACACACGCACACGCACACGCACGCACGCACGCAAACACGCACACGGGGGAGGGGAAGAGAAAATACACTGCGATTCCTAAAGTTATCTTCAGGCAGCGTTCTTAGCACTAAAAGAACTTTCACTGAGACTCTTGAGTTTTGCTTTTCTTGTCCTCCTCCTGCCTTCCACCCCCCCTCCCATCCCCTTTGTGTATGCAGCATATGGATATTAAAGACAAAAATGTGTAAGTCACAACCCCACCCACTCCCCTTTCCTTTCCCAAATGTTTTCCTGTGAATCGGCCAGGATGTTTTTTGCATGTATACCAGGAACTGCACACAGCCATAAAGCCACACATTTGATGGAACAGTGCACTGCTGCAACTAACTGTCTTGTCAGCTCTGCCTTGGTAGCCTCTCCACACCAGAATGCACTGGACGATGACATGGGCTACACCACTGCTTCAGGCCTTTCCTCCTCATAGCTGTTTAGTCTCTGTCACAAACGCAATGACTACCTCATTTTGCATAGGCTATTTTCTGTGACACTAAATTCTACTTACATTCTAGCAAAAGAATGGAGTTCATTTCTGTCATGGCTGTACTCATCTGCTTTCACAGAAACTGGTTGGTGTAGACGCACTTTCTTAAATGACTCACTTTGCCACCAGAACAGTATAAATGTGGAACTAGGAGAACATTTAAAAAGATCTTCCATCTAGTTTCTGCAATATTATGTCCCTACTGAAGAATTTCTCCTTTCATACCATCTGACATTTTTTTCTCACTATAACTTTCAATTCCAGCAACTCTCCCCCTACTTGTGAGTAACAAGTTCCAGAATCCCATGATGCCCAAATCTGCAGACTCTCCAGTCCCTTCTAAAAAATGGTGCCATTACTTATATGTAACCATGAAACACCCTTGTGCACATCTTAAATCACCAACACATTGCTTATAGTGCTGGATGCAACACAAAGAATTATCTTGCTGTATTTCTTAGTGTCCTGGCTAGTTTTATGTCAATTGGACACAGCAGGAGTCACTGGAGAGATGGGAACCTCAATGAAGACAATGTTTCCATAAGATGGAGCTGTAGACAAACCTGTAGAGCATTTTCTTAATTAGGGATTGATGGGGGAGGCTCCAGCCCATTGTGGGTGGGGCCATCCCTGGACTGCTGGTCCTGGGTTCTATAAGAAAGCAGGCTGAACAAGCCATGGGAAGTAAGCCAGTAAGCAGCACCCTCCATGGCCTCTACATCAGCTCCTGCCTCCAGGTTCCTGCCCGGCTCCAGGTTCCTGACTTCCTCTGATGATGGACTATGGTGTGGAAGTGTAAGCCAAATAAACCCTTTCCTCCCCAACTTGCTTTATGGTCATGGTGTTTCATCACAGCAATAGAAACCCCAACTAAGACACTTAGGGAATGACAACAGGAATAAAGATCAGCACATTATGCATTTTTCCCTCAAATACTTCCAGTTCGTTAAAATTTCATAGTTGGATATGAAACCTACACACACGAAGGGGTTCATGTATAATCTAAATCCTTGTCTGTGGAAGTTAACTCTTCTATTTTTTTTTGAGTCTTTCAAATGACAATATATTCTATGCGACTTTCTTCATCTTGATGGCTCATCAAAGGGCATATACTCTATAGCCATTGGCAGTGAAACTTCTTGAGGTGACAGAACAGGACAATTGGGAAATGCCATCCCCACACTTCTACAATCTGTGTTTATCTCGTATTTATTTATTTACTTAATGTGTGCAGGTATGTTGCCTATATATATATACATATATACGTATATATGTATACACA